GAAGAAGAAGGTGGAAATATGCATCCACAAATTGGTGCTTTCATTGAGAGTTTGATTCACACGCTCAAAGAAGATTCTCGCATTCAAAGTTTCTCATTTCTTGTTCATTTGTAGATTTTTCGTATGTTCATATTCTTAGATTTTTTTTTTTTTTTTTTTTTTTATAAAATTCTTTGAATAAACGTAAAAGAAAAGTGCAATGACTAGAATTTTGGAAAGCGTGACGAACGAAACTTTCTATGTTCAAAGATCCGGATCAAATGATGGAGGACGAGACGTAGCCTCACCACGACGATCCACAAGGCTCAATACGATGGCAAGATGAGCAACTTTACCATCAAAGAGCACCACCACCATGGCAGCCACGGGGACTACTGTGGCAGTAGGGAGTGGGTTAGCTTCATGATAGCAAGTGCATGGTGAGCAGGGGGCAGCGAGGCAACCACCAGCCCAAGCCCATGCCACTTTCCAACAACGTAGACAGCCTTGTCTACTTGGCCCAAGGCCCATGCTACAAAGCAGCCGAGCCAGGCCCAGTGCGAGCCAGCCCAAGCTACTACCCCAGCAGCGTAGACCCAAGCCTCATCCAATTGGCACACGGCACAATTTGCAGCCCACGCTATAAGGCAGCTAAGCTAGGCCCAGCCCGAGCCACTACCTCAACAACACAAGCCCAATCAGTTGTGGCAGGAGAAGCAACCGAACGCTCACAGGCCCAAGGCTAGCACGCTTTCGAACAGAGCCCAAGTCCAGTGCCTATGCGCACTGTGCGGGGGCAATACACACTAACTGCCCGACCTGCTCCCATGGTCCAATCTGAGGCCTATCCCACTCTCATGGCCTACTAAGCAATCATAACCAGTCCAAGATTAGTTCAACCGTCCCAACTTCAGATTTCTGGACCGACGATTGAACCGAGGTATTTTCACCTCATTTCTCTGCAAATTTGACATCCCTATTCAAATCTCGCATTCAGAGTTCATTACACTTCCACTACTCAAGGAGATGTATATTATCCAAGCTCTTCCACCCCAAAATGGTGAATAATACTTGTCTCGACAAGGCATAGAGTTGACAAGTGCCCTCGTGCAGCAGATTACCTTGGTGAATCAACTCTTGTAGCGTGCCCTAAACAAGGTGTCCCGAAGTAGGACAAAGGCAGGCGACGAACCTCTCCAGCAGTGTCTCGGCAGACATCCACTCGACCAGTCACTAATTGAACGTTTTGGTAGTGTACATTCCCGACTAGGCCCCCGAGATAGCGTATACTCTCGTCTTAGTGCACGGAGGAGCATACTCTCAGTTAGGCCCACGAGCAAACATACAATCACGGTTGGGACCACATTCTGATAATCAACATGAGCAACTTTCTAGATGAAGTGTTTATTCGCTGCAAGGCCCGCAAAAAGCATCATTTACCTCACATCGGAGTAGGCAGCACAGCGGACGGAGAGAGAAGCAATCACTTAATCCAGCTCAAGTTCAACCAGCAGCCTACAAGTTACCCGCTCGCCTGCTAGAAACATACCATATGCACCGCACCCGCGACATAGACAAGCCAAACACATAGAAAAGCAGCCTAGACCAGCAGGTTACCATTGGGGGCAGTCAAAAGCTCCGCTAGCCAATAAAGGCAAATTCAGGAAGAAGTTGAGAGGCTCCTGACCAAACAATTGCTCAATTTCCAACGTAACGAAGCTACTGACGAGGTGCTCCGACGAGACATGACCAACATAAACGGGTCATTTTCATTGACAAGATTGATCAAATGAGACTATCCCACATATATTGTCGAATACAAAGATTCCTTATGTTTCGACAAATGCAGTGCCGGGGGCAGACGAGTACCAGAATGACACACCAACCTAACTACCAAGAATCGGGGAAAGCTTTATTCTCAACACTCCCGACGATTCAATACTGAAGCAGTACATCACTGTTAGTGGAGCATCATGGGCCTAGTGGTTCAATTCCTCCTGCTGCACACAACCTAGCCCAAACCAACCCCAACTTTGCTCTCACAGCCATGCCTACCTGCTCCACTGGCTTCCAGTAACCATTGATTTATCACCATGGCTCATAAATATGCCAATCTTGCACCACGGCTCCCAGCCGTGCCGATCTTACCTTGTGGCTCACGCCAACCAAGCCTCAAAAGGGCACACGATGAAACACCTAATGATGGCGCAATAATTATGGGAGCAACTCACTACGCTTACACCCTTATATGAGTTCCACAAGCAGTTTGAAGTCTCAAGCAAATCGCCAAACAAGACCTCGCAGACTGAGGATTATTTCAGTTGTCCAGTAGTCCAACTTTCCTCAGCTGCACTTACAACAAGGACTTCTATGCTCTTCAGTGCGAAAGGGTAAACTAATTCTCCAACACCCATCCGGGTTTGCTCTCCAGTGCGAGAGGGTAAACAAACTTGCCCACACCCATATGAGTCTGCTTTCCAGTGCAAGAGAGTAAATAAACTCCTCACACCCATATGGGTCTTCTCTCCAGTGCGAGAGGTTAAACTAATTGCTCTCTAGTGTGAGAGGGTAAACCAATTCCAAGGGTATGTTCTCCTAGTGCGAAAGGATAAACTGATTGCTCTCATGTGCAAGAAGGTAAACCAATTCCCTGACATCCATATGGGTAATCTTTCCAGTGTGAGAAGGTAAATTAATTACTCTCCAGTGCGAGAGGGTAAACCTATTCCCCGATACCCAAAAGGGTCTGCTCTCCACTGTTATAGGATAAACTAATTGTTCTCCAGTGCGAGAGGGTAAATCAATTCCCTAACACCCATATGGGTAAGTTCTCTAGTTCGAGAGGGTAAACTAATTCCCTGACACCCATCTAGGTAAGCTCTCCGGTGCAAGAATGCTACATAGCTCAAAAGATCGAATGCTTGAAGACCAACTAAGCAACAAATGGTCAGGGGGTAGCAGCCACTTTGCACCCAACAATTCGCTCATCCAACACTTCACCTTCAGCAGCTCCGATCTTGGCAACTCTATTCTTGACTGCTTCATTTACGGTAGCTGAGAAATCAAACTTAAGCAATTTCCTCATTTTTAGCAAACAACCCAAACGTGGCAGCCTAAACCGTGGCCCATGCCACGTCATTTCCTCGGCCCATGTCAAGCCAGTCCTTGGCTTCAGTCAAGCCGAGCAGCACAAGCAATGGCCCCTGCCACACCACCTCCTTGGCCCATGCCAAGCCGACTCCTGGCCCCCGCCAACCGACGTGCCGCACCACCCCGACGGTTACCCCGCAGCAGCACCACCCGAAAAGAAGACAAGGAGAATTAAGTTTTTCTTACATCGGTGTGGCGCGAAGAAGACAAAGAAATCAATGGAAGATGGTTCTTTGCACGGGCAAGCAAAGAAGAGTGTTGTGGAAGAGGGAACAAATATCCTCTAGTTTTCTCTCTTTCTTGTAAGGACAAATAATTGTCCTCCGAAGTTGATTTAATTCCTTACTTAAGGTAGACTTAAATAGGCTTTGGAGGCAATTTATTTCCCTTTCCTAAAAGAATCTAATTCCAAGTCCAAGTGAGAATCTACATCAAAGTTGGATATCTCTACACTTGCTGCTCTTTCCTGCGAGCAGCTCAGCAAGTGTGGGGATTTGTGGAGTCAAAAATAATCAAGAAAAATATGGAGTGGACACACGGATTCTAGGGTCAAAAGGACAAAATTACCCTCGAGGAATATCTGAACTCATATGCGCGAGTAGTGGACAATCATGACTCAATCAAAATATGGAGTGGACACGTGGATTCTAGGGTGAAAAAGACAAAATTACCCTCGAGGAATATCTGAACTCCTACGCTCGAGCAGTGGACAATCATGACTCAATCAAGGTCAAAAGTGCTCAAAATAGGTAATTATTCAAAACCTATTTCATCCATCCTCATCAAATCTTCTCCACAAGGTAACCCCCAAATTATTCATTTCAATTTATATTAATTAGCTAATTGATTGAAATTAACACAAAGAATACCACATATGGCCCGTCCCCATTCTCCTAATAGGGCCGGCCAGAGCCCTATAAATACCACCCGATTTTGTCCAAAAACCTAAGTTCAACACTCTTGCAAAATTCTCCAAATTCTCTAGACACTTTTCCCTCAAATTCTAACTTTGGCATTACCCCCCCCCCCCCACCTCAAAAACGGAAAAAAAAAAATCATTATGGGCACATGAGGCTATTGGCCTTGACCAAATGTGTTAATTGTTTTATAGGTGGAATTTTTGTCCAAGAAGAAGAAAACGGAAATTTGCATCCACAAATCATATCAACAATATTAACAAAACATTGATATCATATCAACAATATTAACAAAACATTGATATGATATCAGCAATGTTTACCATATATCGATTCTCTTAACAAGAACATTTGTTTATCAGCAATGTTTTTCCCATGCGTTTGTAAGTTAGCTCTGTTTTTATATCCATAGTTGGCGTCAAAGCCCCGACAAGAAACCCCTTAATTGCAAGGAAACTCCGTATTGTTGAAAACTTGAGGAAAATATATTATGTACCTACATAAGCGGTCGAAATAATATTCTTCTTTTAAGTATATTTTATGGCTGTTGTTATTGGCACTAAAAGAAATTCATTGTGCACTCCAAAACCTTATATATTTAAAAATAAAAATACACTTATAAGGAGTGAACAATAAATTTTTTGAAGGGCCAGTAGTGTAACCCTATATTTGCGAAATTGATTTTTCGTTCGGGGATATACATGCATTTTATTCCCACGATATTAGTTGGCTAGCCTAGAGACTGGAGTTCCAAAAAGTCCATATGCCAACAACAACCTTATTCAAAAACGCCCCATTGCAATATTCTGTCACTCTTATCGATCTCTATTCTGATCTATGAAAGTATTAATGGTTGTTTGGTGAGCACACTTACTGCATGCTAACTTCGCGTAGTAACTCACTCACCAAAACCAAAAAGCAGCTGTCGACCCACCAAATTAAACTTCAAAACCCTAGCTAGGACCACCTTTTTTCCTTCCTTTGTATTTCCTCTCTGCACTCCTTTTTCTGCTGTAAATTTGAATTGGACAAATATATACACACATATTTACTCCCTCCCTTATGGAATAGCTAGGGACAACTTTCTCTGATATCCAGCAACCGCTTATTAATTATTTGTTTATATAACTCTGTGTATTTGCCACCCTTTCTCTGCTGTTCCTATCAACACAATACTTGTAAGTTGTAGCTGGATATTTTGCTGGCTATGGAGGAGATAGAGGAGCAAAAGGGTGGTACCACTTCTGGTGGTGTTGATTCAGAGAGGAGTTTGCCAACTTCTGGTGGAAGAGAAGGAGAAGATGTTCGTCGGCGGTGGCAGCCTCAGGCGGTTGTTGGGATGCATTTAGTGTGGGAAGATCTGAGTGTTGTGCTTCCGAAGTTTGGGAATGGCCATACCAGAAGACTGCTTGATGGGCTGAGTGGGTTTGCTGAGCCAGGTCGCATCATGGCTATCATGGGTCCTTCTGGCTCTGGCAAATCAACCCTTCTCGATTCTTTAGCAGGTTTGTCTCTCTCAACACACACACACACACACACACACACACATATATATATGCATGTTGTATGTATGTATTTATAATTATATGTTTCAAATTTCAATCACATGCATAAGTTTTAATCCAAAAAAAAAAAAAAAAAGTATGCCACACTTTGGAATGTCAATTGATTAAAGCAAAAGTGCACTTTTTATTTTTATTTTTTATAGGTGAAACAATAGTAATTTTATTTTATTCGATCAAAGATTATTACAATCTTTAAGCAGAGCATCACGAATTAAATATGATGATCACTCGAACCAACGAGAATTCAAATCATGAAAAAAGTCATTTCTAGTTAGTCTATGATCAAAATAATAAGTACATGCAGATACGTTTTGTGTATGTAAGGTTTAAATTCACAATTAATTATTATGGTTAAGATTTACAAAAAAAATTAATCCTAAGATGAACACACATGCATATGCACACATGCTTGCCTTGTCTTCTTTCTGTGTCTTGTATTTTTTTTTTTTTCTGTTCACTATAGTGTGAACTACATGTGCACCGATTTTTTAATCTAAAAAAAGAAAAATTGACTTTTATTTGATTTTAAATTTTAAATGAATGTCGATGCTAGTTATATAACTTGAAAAATATTAGGGAGACCACATTGATGTACCATCTGACAGGGGCAATGTCACGTCAGTTAATGAGTCTATTTGATTAAATGTTAATTTTATGTATAACTTATCACATGATCATGATACACCCATGTGATACAAACATGTGATGTTTTGCATGTACATTCGGAAGATAAGCTATACATTCCTGAAATAGATAGAGAGAGATAGTTACGGAATGGTTAAATTTTGAGGAGGTTGGTCGGTTGGATAATTACTGATCTGCATTTAACATGGGATTGGCATTTCAAAACTAAGCACACTACGTACCATTAATTCTCTTCTTGACTTAATTAACTGAACACTTTGCCTGTCTCTTGCATTAACTGATGAAAGAAGTTGAAGTTTTACCCGAAAACTAATTAGTAACAAGATGAACAATCAAACTTTTTATACATTCTTAAATATTACGAGCAATCTAGGCCGACACATATATGACTGTCGGATTTGTCCAAAAATGATTAAAACTGTTAAATCAAATCGTCTCAACAAAATTTGCTTCACATCTCCACATTATACTCTTTGAAGAATGAAGAGAGAAAGAGAGAGGTGATCACTTTGACTCAAATGATATGTTGAATTATATTAGCATATTGCTCATGCCTTAATTGTGAGCCGTTAATGCATTGTGAGATTTATAAGAATTAACGGTTCAAGTTCATCGACACACATGGAGGACTGACGCTAGCAATCAACTTTCATGTTTGAGATATGTATAGTAGGAACATGCAATGTTCGAAATTGATGCTAGCAATCCTTTTCATTGTCAAATAATTATTGATATCCCAAAAATGCCTCAACTTCTCTCTTTAATTTTGCTGTTTTGCAGGTAGACTTTCACAAAATCTTGTCATGACTGGAAATGTTCTTGTAAATGGGAATAAGATGAGACTAGACTATGGTGCTGCTGTAAGTACACATAATTTCATATTCTTCCTGACAAAACTACCCCATTCCCCATGTGCCTGTGGACTGGTACATGTTTCTTTTATTAAAAGTTAGGCTTGATTGGATTAATAGTTTTTGTGGTAATAAAATAGTTAGAAGACCTTGTAGTAAAAAAAGAAAAAAAAAAAAAAGGATTTAAACTCATGTGATGAAGTCTGTTAAGATTTCGACCCAAAATTAAAAGTTTTATAAACTCTATGTTTGTTGTGAGCACGTGAGGCTCAGCCTCACATGCAAATCTCACATGCTAACAATTAACAAATAGTTTTATTCTAGCCTCATATATGCTAACAATTAATAGAGAGGTGACAGAACTTTTAATTTTAACCTTAAATCCTAACAGACTTCACCACATAGGTTTAAATCGTAATTTTTTCACCACATGAATTTAAATCGTAATTTTATTCACCACATAGGTTATCTTCTGAGTAGCCTGTTCCTTGGGAATTAATGCCTACAAATTGTAGAGTACAAATCCTGTGATTCCATAGCAGCCACAAATTTTATGTAATAATGACTTTGGTCAATGGCCTGTACCAACTTGTTGGGTTTAACGGGTTTGGATCGCGTTGATCACGAACTGTTGTTGCAACGGGTCATCCAAAATTAACCCTCCAATGTAATTAACATCAAAATTTCAGGCATATGTGACCCAAGAGAATACACTGTTGGGAACCCTGACAGTAAAAGAAACCATAACATATTCGGCACACTTGAGGCTTCCAACTACATTGACCAAAGAAGAAGTCAACGGCATTGTAGAAGGTACAATTACAGAAATGGGTCTGCAAGATTGTGCTGACAGCCTCATTGGAAACTGGCACTTGAGGGGCATAAGTGGGGGAGAAAAAAAGAGGCTGAGCGTTGCACTTGAAATTCTCACAAAGCCAAAGCTGCTGTTTCTGGACGAACCTACAAGTGGCCTCGACAGTGCCTCGGCTTTCTTTGTCGTTCATACTCTGAGATATATTGCTCTTGAGGGCAGAACCGTCATTTCATCCATTCATCAGCCCAGCAGTGAAGTCTTTGCTCTCTTTGATGATCTTGTTCTGCTGTCTAGCGGTCAAACTGTTTATTCTGGACAGGCAAATATGGCTCTGGAGGTACTACTACAAGAAGAAAATAAATGGTTTTTTTTTCTTATTAAGTTGTAAGGAAGAAAGGCACTTTCAAATAACTAAGAGCTCATTTCGAAGTGTGTGTAAGCGACTTTAAAGAAAGTGTTTTTGGGTTCCAAAGGCACTTCATGTGTTTTGCCAGGATTCACTTGCATTTTAATTAAAGATTGGTTTCAAAAACATTTTCACAAAAAACGCTTTCAGTAATTTTAAAAGTAGTTTCAAATGATCCTAAAACCGTTATTGACCACTTTCGGCAGAAAAAATTAAAGGTCAAGGTTTAAAAATCCTTCCAAGTTTTTTACCCGGAAGGGCTTAAATTTTATTAAAATTTCAACGTACCTCTAATAAAAGTACTTTCAATAAACACGCTTATGATCATAAGTGCTTTCTACAGAAGCCTTTCAAAACGGGCTTTCATGGTTTGTAGCATGGAACCATGTATTCCGAAGTTTAGAGAAAGTTCCAAGATAGTTTTGCCATGAGCATGAATTTTACAGTGTGCATGATCTCAGATTCCTAATGTTACTTCATTTCTTTTGAATTTGACAGTTCTTTGCCAGAGCTGGAGTTCCATGTCCGAGTCGAAGAAACCCTTCCGATCACTTTCTTCGTTGCATTAATTCAGACTTCGACAGAGTCACCATGAACGAATCTCACCGAATACGTGTATGTACATTGTATACGTATATGTGAACTTTCCTATCAAACTAATTCTGCTCATTTCGGCTTTGAATTATGAATGGAAAAACTACTTTACTGTCTAACATTTTTCAAATGCAAAGCAGGACGTCCCAAAATCATCAGATCCTTTACTGAACTTAGCAACAGCAGAGATAAAAGCTATGCTTGTCGAGAAGTACAAGAGTTCCGAGTACGCGTCGAGGACAAGAGCTAGGATTCGACAAATTTCATCGATGGTAATGATGCAAGGAAATCTATGTTACTAATTTTACATGACAGTTTGTTAATAAGAAACTTGTTTTACAGGAAGGACTGACGGTAGAAAAATGGAGTGGGAGCCAAGCAACCTGGTGGAAGCAACTAACAATATTAACACGGAGATCTTTCCTCAACATGTTAAGGGACTTGGGGTATTACTGGGTAAGAATCATCATTTACCTGCTGTTATCTCTGTGTGTCGGTACGATATTCTTCAATCTTGGGACAAATCTGAATTCAATATTGGCAAGAGGAGCTTGTGCTGGATTTATTTCTGGTTTCATGACCTTCCTGTCCATCGGAGGCTTCCCATCCTTCCTTGAAGAAATGAAGGTAAAAAGTAAATTAGTTTCTGTGAGCAGGAAAGTATTCAATTGTGTAATCAGAATGTAGATCAATTCAATACTCAGGATTTAAACCTTCGATCTTCTGTTTCTGTTCGATAAACAGGTTTTTCATAAAGAAAGGCTCAACGGGCATTATGGTGTTGCTGTGTTTATTCTGTCGAATTTCCTCTCTTCTTTCCCGTTCTTGGCTGTCATGTCGATTTCAACTGCGAGTATAACATACTACATGGTGGAATTCCATTCTCAGTTTCCTCGTTTTGTATTCATGTGCCTCGATCTTATCAGCGCCATCGCAGCAGTAGAGAGCTCCATGATGATTATAGCATCTCTTGTTCCTAACTACTTGATGGGAGTGATAATTGGAGCAGGATACTTGGTAAGTACAACTCTGCATATCATTCTTGCCAAGCTTAATTGTATTTATGTAAGTGCACATAAAGTTCTATTTATCACTAGTTACCGTGTTTGTCTAGGGAATCATGATGATGACTGCCGGATTCTTCCGCTTGCCGCCTGACATTCCCAGACCGATTTGGCGATATCCTGTTTCATACCTAAATTATGGTGCATGGGCATTACAGGTACCAAACAAGAACATTTTTAGTTTTGAACTAGCGAAAGTTTACCATTCTTTCCAAGCTTTGGGTAAACAGATCCTTACTAAACCGAAGGACTTTTCTTCCTTACAACCGGTTATACCTAAGAATTACTCCAAAGACACCGAAGGCCCTGCTCATCCTAAATTTTGCCATTGTTGGGTAGTTTTTCATACAATTCTGCATTTATCAGCCGAAAAAAGGACCTACTGAGGAACAGATTATAAATTTTACAATTTGAACTTACCACTGTTATACCGGTATATGCAGGGAGAATATAAGAACGCACTGGTTGGCCGTGAATTTGATCCTATTGTACCAAATGGCCCGAAGCTGAAAGGTGAGTATATCCTCACAAACATTGCCGGCTTTAAACTGGATCACTCAAAGTGGTGGGACTTGGCCGCTGTTGTAGCCCTTCTTGTGTCTTTTAGAATCATCTTCTTCATCATCCTTAAGTTCAAAGAGAGAGTTTCGCCTTACCTCCGAACATATTATGCCAAGCATACTCTAAAGCATCTCAAGAAGCGGCCTTCATTCAGGAAGGAGATACCATTCCCTTCCAAGAGGCACCAACCTCTCCATCCCCTGGCTTTTCAAGAGGGTCTCAACTCTCCACTGCACTAGAAGCAGCAACAGAAACGCCATCCGCGGTTTTTCATTCAGTAGCACTTGCAGATAGCAACACCTTGCCTCAACCTTGTAGTTCCTTTTATATTCTGCTGTCTGCAGAATTATTACCTGATTAGAAGTGTGCATGAGAGAGAGAGAGAGAGAGAGAGCAAAATAAGAGCAGTAGCAATTTTCTGAGCAGAATCTCAATAGAAGATATGTGTGGCACGAGCAAGCATAATAATTGTTTTAGTTTTGATAAAATTTACTCACATGACTTAGGACTTACAAAATACAAAGTTCCATGGGACAGGTTCACCCTGACGGGGGCATTCCAATCACTAATACGAGATCATGTGTAAGGTTGGGATGCCACGGTGCCAGTGAGCCCATTTCAACTCTTTATTCTTTTGATGGTGCAAAAATGGAAAACAGAGTTGGAGGCCGTGTAGTGTAAGATTGTAACAGTAGAGCGTGATGGGCGTGGTAATAAAAAACATGGGGCTCGCGGATGACGCGCATATGCCACAATTGTCTCAGCACATAGAACATGTGTGTGCAAGAGACTAAAGGCAAACTCCACACTCAGGCCAACAGAAAGCAGCTTGTTTCCTGTAACTCCAAAAAATCAGGTTGGGGCCTAAGAAAACACAGAAACCAGAGGTAGAACCTCGACGTGTCTCGGCATGTAACCTAGTCAGCGTCAAAGAATGCATAGTAAGCAGATCCTCTCTAAAGCAGAAAGCTGAATCCTTGCACTCAAAGGAGTAGTACTTACTACTACATATTTTCATCACCCTGCCACAGAACTTTGACGAAGATCAACGGTTTACCGAGTCTGGAATAGACGAACACTAGGCTCAACGAAGACAACTCAAAGGCCGGACCGGAAATTTGAAAGGGTACAAGGAGTAGAGATTAATAAAGTAGAGAGCTGAGCTATATGCACTTAGAATAACATCGCCTGCAAACAGCAACAATCCTGCTGTTCGATGGAAAACTATAGAAGTGATGAAACCACGCTCGGGGAGCCTACTTGCAACCTTAAATGGCGACTGGCCAGTAGAAAAAGTTGCGAGTTGGACATTATACTAATTATAACCAAGCTAGTCTCCTTTTGATCAATCAATCGTACGCAAAAGCAGCACAAATGGGAAGCAGAAACATCTACTTACCTTGTTCTATTTTCCTTCCTCCAAGTTTTTCTTTCGAAAACCAAGTCAAAAATTTGAGGATCAACCGGGTTCTTTTCCTAATCTATAATTACAAGTAATCAGTTCTAACTCTTGATTAAAGAATTCGCTGATTAGCGGCCCACACTCCGGAGACTCGGCCTCAAACTGCAGCGTGAGTAATCACCTGCTTTCTGAAAATAGAGTTGAAAACATATTCATGAGCTTCAAGAAAATTTTGACAGTGATATGATGAGACAAGATGAAGACAAGATCAGATAAGATCCGGTACAAGACCGAAGCAAAGACAATAATCGATACATGATATGAGCAAGACATGAACAGACGACAATATTTAAGGATTATCAAAGACAATAACCGGTAAATCGTCCCTTTTCCCTTTGTGTGATCAAAGTAGAGCAACAGTAGCAAAGGGTTTCGGTCTCACAAGGTTATTAGACCGAACTAGACATCCTTGAATATAAACCTAATTAAGCCAACTAGCCTTGGATCAAGATCAACTTACCAAGCTCTAAACAGCCTCAACATGGGTAAATACTTCTCGACTAGCCTTGGACCGTCTATCGCAAAACTTAGGATGTGCTTCTCATAAACTGTTGTTAAAAAAAGGACAACCTTCAGCCCAAATCTTAGATTGAGAGAAAAAAAGCGTGAATCTTTCAATCTGTCATGTGCCCCAGGAGTAGCTAAGCAGAATCAATATGACACTAAGGTTGCAATTCTCATACCAGATTATCCTCCATAAACAAGTATCCCCCTGTTCTATAGCAAATGTGCAATTTCTTCGACATCCAGATTAAAAAACAATCATAGAACTACACCCACGAAAGGTTTTGGTGAGCGGTTACCGAAAATTTGTTGCTCCAACATGACACTTGACTAAGATTGCACAGGAAAAACTGCTTCGAGACTATGGATAGTTCCCAAAACTGAAATCAAACTCGACAACTCTTCAAGGTCCTAATGATGGTACCCAAGGTCAATGTTGTCTGACAGTAGCAAATCTCCTACCAAGCCCAAATCTAGCCCACAGTCAGGAAACTAAAACATGACCCCATCTCTAACTCTAACCTAGACTACCTGAAGAATACGATGAAGCTAGGAAAATCTCAACGTATTGAATCTACCTCTAATTTTAAAGCTCTTGAGTCTTCAAAGGAATCAGTACTATACAAAGATGCCTTCGTTAATGCACCTTCTCAAATCTCCGAAGTCTTGACGTCTTCATTTAAGCATAAACACAATGTCATGAAACCTGTAAACCTAATATTCAAAAACAAAATGTTAGGTGCGATTGCTATTTTACCCCAAGTCTCCAAATTCCTTTCACAATAAAGACATAAAAAGGGCCACCCCAAGCCAACAAGGTTCCCTGCTTCGCGAGGGTCTAGGGGAACATCTATAGTACGCAGCCTTACCCTTGCTTTTGCAAAGAGGCTGTTTCCATGGTTATGCAAAAAAAAAAAAAAAAAACATCATATATTTAAACCCCCTACAGTTTAAAAGAAAGAATAATATAGTAAAGACGATAATAATAATAGTGGAATATGAAGAAATGCCTAAACACTGCATAGATTGGTTAAGTTTGTTTTGCAAGAGCCTATATTGAGTGGTCAAATATTACCAATAGATGCAGAAAACAAGCAAGAACCCTCAAGTTATTCCCAAATCACTAATCCTCTAGACATAACCCTTAATGTACCGTTGGCACTGCCACTGGTTATGCCAAGAGAAAGCACTGCAATCCTCATGTTACGAAGTGAAAGCTGTTAATCAACAACCTGAGAATCCACAACATCATGAGCGACTAGAAAATACAGCAAGACTTTCATTCTAAAAGAAATATGACCAAACAGAGGTATAACAAAGAATGTAATCCATTATTTTAGTTGCCTCTATAATACAGTTGATGTAAGCGCTAAGTGCTCAACGAACGAACCTCCTGTCATAAGAGGAAACATCCAATTAGATCTAAAATAGCAAAAGGATAACACAATATAAGCATGACAAATATTCCATCTCATGCCAACCGTAAAGATCAATGTCTCGTACTAATCAGTTACCAATTTCAGAACCGAAGTAGAGAATCAGAGATGGAGCTTTTGCTAGGAACTATGTTAGGTACTGCAAGAGCACAGTTAAAGTTGAAAGAGAATGAACTTTCTAAAGATAGACCAAATGAATAAATAAAACCATAGACAAAGGTATAATTACTGAAACAGCTACGTTTGAGCCTGTGATAATTTGGAAAGAAGTGTACTACTAAACCAATGCAAAAGGATCTAGAATCTGAAACATGACAACAGTACAGAGATATTATCAAATACACAAGCACGAAGAACAGAGATATTTATCAAACATGGCAAACGGGAAATTGTCCGGATATGCAATATCATTATGTTTTCCATTAGAACTTGTCAGACAAAGGTCAAGAATACAATGCTTATCATTCAGTTTAAGTTGTAATTTTAGCAGCAACTAAAATTACAAAGGAAAGTTGAACTCATATGCTATCCATGAAGGTTTTCCATTCCTGCGTTTTGGCTTCGGAAGCCTTCAGAACACACAAACAGGGTTGAATGGTGCTGGGTTCTGGTTATTGTTTCTTCTCATCAGACACTCCATTTTCAACTCGGTTTTCAAACCCATGATAAGGAACTTCAACCATGGGCAGGGGCACTGGGCGTCCATCAAAGTCTTCTGGAAAGAATTCAAAATCAGGGCCGAAATTGAACTTGACAACACAATTTGGTTGATGTGGAAGAGTATACATTGAAGCAGCAGGATAGTAACGTCCACCATATAGATCCTTAAAAGCAACTCCTTGGCATACCCCATTTTTGAAAAACGATATCTCACTTCCTGCAAAGCAAATCAATAATCACTCCAATGGTTACCCTTCCAAGAAAACAAACGCAGGTTATAACTTAGCAGAATAGAAACATTTCTGTAGTTGAACAGAAGTTTGAAAAAAAAAAATGCTCATAAACCCCAGAAAAAATTATTAAAGTGGCAAGTTGGTGGAAGAGGCAGCATTTTGAACCTATTCCAAACCCAGTGAGTTAAGGACACCCCCAAAATAATACGTACAATTGCATGCTTGGATGCTAACTTTCTATTGCACACAATATACGGATGGCAATGGGTTGAATACCAAACATGCAAACTGGTATTGGAATTGGATGAGAACACCAAAACAATGTTTCCTTTTAATCTCAGGAAAAAAGAACAATTAGGTAACAAGTTGGCGAGAAGGAAGCATTTTCACCCATGGAAAAGCCAAAAATCAAATGTGCAATTAAATTATTTACGAGATACAAATTTTTTACTTTAGGTCATTTGGAAAAGAAAATACAGATATCATCAGGTTTAAATAGCTGAAGGTTTCCACTGCCATGTCACACAAATACTCAATTTCCTGTTTCATTGAAGTAGAAATAGAATAAATCTTTCACTATGCTAATTAGATTGTAACAGGACATCACATCCCAAGAGTCAATGCCTGCATGGCTTGTAAGTATCTTATGAATTTCAAATAATTCTCATGCCGCGCAATCTACCAACGCCTATATACCGTCTGAGTCAAAATCGGCCTCTATGGGGGGTAGACTCATGCATTACAGTTCAACCAGTCACTGCAGAGGCAGTTCTTCAAATTAATCAGTCTGATTCCTCATTCCCAAAATATTCCGATTACCTAATTTTATACCAAGCTTTTGTGCTATGACTTGTTGAACAAAGAGAAATATTTATATAGAAGCGATAATTCCATCCCCTGGAAACCATTTCAACCACTTCATAACAGTTTGGCTAAAATGCACTAAGATCACTTGTCCCATCTCTCTCCTTTTTCTGTACAAGCACATGGTACAATCATATGTCTCAAACTTCACTATAAATCTTTAAAGTCTCTCTCACAAGTAAAAGAACTCAGAATTATAGTACATTCTCTTGGCTAATGTTGTTCCCTGAATTTAGTTAGCGGAGACAATAAGTCACAAGTGCAGTATAATGCTACAAACGACATTGTGCAATAGAGATAAAAAAGACTATAAGTCACAAGTTCCGTTGTCTTGATCAT